TTGATAGCACTTTTGATGACAGCTTCCATTGGCTGATTGAGCATGGACGATTGAGATTGAGAACAATGGGGCCATCATTGGCCGGGTTGGATTTGTCTTGCTTCTTGTGTACAGGGCATTTGGACAATTTTCCAGATTGCAGGGTAGCTGTGAGTAATGTAGCTAAACTGGAACTAGGAACATGGTTAAGACCATGTCAAGTTCTGGATCACAGTCTTCTACTATTATGGAATATTGCATAAGGCCCATAACCTTTGCAGTATCTAATGTCTCCTACAGTTTCATGATATCATGTGGAATAAATTGAATTGGCTGAAGATATGCATCTGCATGTGGCCCAGATGGATCATCCACTTGAAATTCCATTTGAAGATTATTGCAATTGCTTCATTTTGACTTTTGCACTAATGTTTAGTGCACCCTTTATAGAATCAGGACATGGTTAAGTAATTAATATGCCAGGCCATAACATTCCAGATCATGTTGGAGAACAATTTTGCTGCTGGTCCACAATGCCTCATGGATGCCCAATATTGAGTTGCTGGATCTGTTTAAAGTCTATTCCATTTAACATGGCGATAGTGCCACAACACAATTGAGAGTAGTCTCAACATGAAAATGGTTACATTTACTGATACTGTTGTGAACAGAGGTGAGTAGACTGGTGAAGATGAGGTTAAGAATTTTTTTTCCCACATTAGTTCCCTCACCACCTGCTGCAGATCCAGTGTAACAGCTATGTCCTTTAGAACTTGACCAACCCAATCAGTAGTGATGATGCCAAGCCACTGGTGGGCTATGAGTAGATACTGCACCAGTGCCACCCTCAGTGATTCCTCAAAGTGGTGCTCAACATGGACAAATACTGGTTCATCAGCTTGGGAGGTGGGGGTGGGGGTTGAATCTGTAGTCAATATTGAAGATTCCCAGAGAAACCTCTTTCCAACTGCATCCACTGTGCGACAACTTCAGTTTGATCTGTCTTGCAGTTGGTAGAGGGCATATTCAGAGACAGCGAACGTGTTGTCTGGGATATTGTGTGTAAGGTATGATTTTGTATGACTATGTCAGGCTGTTACTTGATTAATCTGTGAGATAGCTCTCCGAAGTTTGGCTCTAGCCCCCAGATATTAGTAAAGAAGACTTTGCAGGTTGGACATGGCTGTGTTTACTTGTACATCACTCAATCTAGTCTACTGTATTCACAATATAGTCTTCTCTACACAGGGGAGTCAAAACACAGGCTGGGTAACTGCTTTGCAGAACACCTATGCTCTGTCTGCAAAATGACCACAAGCTTCCAGTTGCCTGCCACTTCAACATACCGTGTTCCCTGGCCAAGATTTTTGTCACAGGTCTGTTGCAGTGTTCCAGCGAGCCTCAGCGTAAGCTCAAAGAACATCTCATTTTCCGCTTGGGTCCCTGCAGCCTTGACGACTCAATATCAAGTTCAGTAACTTTAAAGTCTCTTTCCATCCTTTGATGTATTTTACCCAATCCACACCCGGTCCTATTATGACATAGGTTGCTTTTAGCAGTCACCCATTCCCATGTACTCTTAGGCCCATTACCACATTATATCATAGTCATAGAGCACGGAAACAGACCCTTTGGTCCAACCAGTCCATGTCAAACATAATCCTAAACTAATCTAGTCTCTGCTTATTGATTCAGAGATAGTGGGAACTGCCGATGCTAGAGAATCTGAGATAACAAGGTGTGGAGCTGGATGAATACAGCAGGCCAAGCA